ACACACCAGAGACAGCTCCCCAGCCATAAAACATCGTGGCCTCTCTGGAGATCCTGGGGCTTATTTTGAGCATCCAGAGCACCCTCTATCAGAGCCCTTTTTCCCATGCGCACCCTGTCATGGCAGGCTGGGGTAGCACAGAGATGCCCAGGAAGGAGCTGGAAAAGCTAATCCCCCCAACAACATTGCAAAAATATTTGACAAAAAAAATTCAAAAAATGCTGCTCCCCCTCCTCCCCCCCCCCCAAAAAAAAAAAAAAAAAAAAAAAAAAGTTTGGCTGTAAATAAAGTGCCTAGTAACTCAGTGCTTAAATGACAGGAGCTGGCATGTATGAAGCAGAGGAACAATGTCTTGCTTTGACTTGCTGACGGACTGACAAGGAGAGACAATCCTGATAGCAGAGGCCGGTGAGAGGTAGCTGAGAGAAAAAGTTTTTCCATGGTCTGACAGTAAGGGCAGCAGAAGCAGCAGAAGACGTTTTTCCTTTGTTCTTTACCTGTTCTGGTTTTCCATCCTTCTTGCCTGCCAGTCTTGACATTTGGTTCAGGTGAGGGCATCGTTAATATAAGTTGCCATAAAACCTCCCTCTGAAAAAGTACATTTTAAAGTGCCAGAAAGGGGACATTTATCCTCATCACCTTGGTGGCTGTTCATGTGCAGTTTCTTTGGTTGGAGATGGCACCACTGGCTCAACAGGTTCTGTGGGATGATGCCACCCAGCACACAGGGCAGAAGGAGCCAGCCAGTGCTCCCAGGGGATGAGGCAGGGTTGTGTGTCCCCATGCGACCCTTTATTGCAAGTTGAGGTTCCCCACCACGTTTTTGGTAGTCCTGCATGGGACTGAGCTGCAGTTCCTGACAAGGTCTGGTAGGTGCCAGGCAGCATCCTGCTCTGGGAGTGGGGAGATGGCTGAAAGCTGCTGGGCCAGGGGCACCCAGTCATCCCTCCCTGACTTCTGAGCTTGGGCTAAGGGGGGAACCCACCTACCCATGGGTGAGCAATTTTGTCTCCCTGTAAAAACAGCAGGCTGGAAAAAACCCACTGCCTCACCAGAAATTTTGTCTTTCAGAGCTCCGAGCTGTCTGAAACACTTGCATTTAGGAAAAAATAAATGTTTCCTGCTGTAGTTGACATTTTCTTATTATCTATTCATGTTTAATCCCTCTTTGTGTCCTGCTGAGCTTCTGAGAAAGCAATTTAGAGGCTTTATTCCAAGGAAAATCAAACATTAACAAGTATTATTAGTACTGATACCAGGGCACATGTTACTTTCGGTTATTAGGAAACGAAAATGGCAATATCGCTGCCTATTTGAACTATGCAGTATTTGAGGCTGTAACTCATGTTTGCACACTTAAATCATGCCTGTGCTTTTGGGTCTGCCTTGTCACAGCTGCTTGTGTCTCTACAAAGCAGCAGCTCCTGCAGATAGTCAAAAGCACTTCAGTTGCTTCTGGTTTGGGTCATTCCCTGGATGATGTGTGCAACCTCAGCACAAACCCAACACCCCTGGTCCACTGAACTCAGTGGAATGATTGTAGCTTTGCCCCAGAAAAATTAAGAAAACTTTATTGCTTTAAATTGGTATTTTGAATCTGTTTCTCAGGGGGACTCTAGACCTACTTACCTCTCTCAGCCTTGGGCCAGATTGCTTTTCTTGATCTGTGTGGCATGTAGTCTTGATCTCTTGGTGCCGTTTAGATAATTATACTCATTAACAGACATAAAGGAGGTGTCATGTTAGTTCTGATAGAGTAACTAGGCTTCGTCACAGGAGTCACCATGGCCCTGTCACTGTGCAACATGAAGGAGGTACACAAGGGTCAGTGGTGTCAACAGAGAGACCCTATAACCAATTTGCTTACCATGGCAGAACACAGGGGGAAGTTAATGCCCCCGGTAGAAATTGGTACTTGCAAAACAGAGGGCTCCAGTTTTGCTGATTTGGATCACAAATTTTGACCACCTTCTTTTCTTCATGTGTTTGTTTCAAGCGTGTGTGAGAAGAGCACCAGGCTTTAGACTTCTATAGCCCACATTGTTTGGGTCCCAGGCCTTCATGCAAACCTCGTTTAGATCTGTGCAGAGTCATGAAACACCACACCAGTCAGTTTAAACAACTTGCTCTCTAGGATGCAAAGCAGGTAATTTTTTGGCAATTCCCTGTATAAAATATTTTGCAGCTGGAGCAATAGGAGATGGAAAAAGCTTTGAGATAATTACAAACTGTAATTTCTGACTCACATCAGAAAGAAAACTCAAGTGTAACTTAATGCAAAAGGATTTTGTATAAAACTGGAAAGATTTATTTTGATACAAAAAAACTGGATGCTGTTCAAAATGACCTCTAGAAAAGAGATTGATTGCTACTAAGTCTCCATTACTTTCTGTACCACTTCCTGTAGACTTATTGTTCACTTGATATTAACATCTTGAGGACTGTTCCATGGAGATACGTGCATGCAGGCTGGAAGTCTTGAATCACAGCCTTTATTGTTTGTCAGATGCAAGCAAAGGTAGAAAGATACAGTGGCAGATAATTTAGAAACCACAGGCCTTGTCACACCTAACCTATGCTCGTATCTCAGCTGTAAAGCAAGATAATTTAGGTTGAATGGTGATGGTTTTGCTAAATGCAGCCACAGTCATGTTGTCCTGTTTAAACATGACAGAAGCCATTATTCTCCAGCCGTTCTTTACATATATCCATTCTTCCAGGCAGTGAGGGAGACAGAACACTTGCTTCACCCAGGAAGCTATACATGCTGTTTGCAGGGGGAGAGAGGTACGGGAGGGAGGCTCAGCATCCCAGGAGTAAGGAGCCAATATCAGGGTGATTTTATTCCCAGATATGCCAGCTTACGTCATTCAAGGAACCAACCCGCCTGTGTTAATAGAAAGTGCATTTTAGCTTTCAAAATTTTCACCTGGTGATAACAAGAAAGCAATTGACAGTTTTAAAAGAAAAATGGCCTCAGCGAGAGGAAGCTGGTCTTCTCTCTTGTCCCCCTTTCCCTTGGTGTTCTTTCAATAAATGCCAACCTTGTAACATATTGCCAAGCTTGGGTGCTTGGGACACAGAGGCTGTACCTGTGCAAATGATTCTTTTCCAACAGCCTCCCCCATCACACCATGGGCTCCTGCTGGCCTCGGGGACATCTGGGTAAACTCTTCTCTTCTTGAGCTCTGAAGGAGAAAAGATAAAAACCAGTGCTGTCAGATGAGACACCGGTGTGCACTCCCACATTTGCTGAGTTTACCTGGAAAGGGGAGTTTGGGGAACTGGTACTATACTGGGGAAAGACTTGCGAGAGTGAAACAGGGAAGAAATGGGATTGCGACAGAAGATGGGATGCAGTCCCATATGGACAGGGAGGCTGAGACTCCTCCACTGCACCTGGTCCGGGGGTTTCATTGGGTCTGCAGGGTTGTGGTGAAGAGCTGCAGCTGGGGTAAGTCCCTGGAGCGGGGTGCAGTGTGTTGTCTGGATGGCCCCCTCCTACATGCAGCTGGGGATATGGAGAGAGCTGAGACACTGAAGTGGGAATGCCCAAGGTGCGTCTGGTGTGATCTGGGTCCTTGCAAGCCTTTTCCCATGTCCCCTCCACAAATACCTCTGTGGCTAATTGCAGGTGTTTCATTTGGGAAAAAAGGAACACCATTCCTACCAGTTCCAGAATAGCCTGAATTTGCTTTTGGCAATTAAACCAATGACAAAGCCGGCATTTTCCAGCTTTCACACAGTCAGAACCAAATGAGACTTTGCTCCGGGAAGTATGCCTCTCTTATCAAGGCCACAGCCTACCCGTTGGCAGTATGCAGGGACCTGTTGTGAAATTATACATCTACATACCTGTGATCTGCAAACTTTATAAAGTTTGCTTTACAATTTACATACATTTACAGACTTTTGTGTTACCTGGGTGTGCATGTGTGTGTATTTATATATCTGTATAAGGTATGCTTCTTCATACATTGACTGAAAGAGGAAGACAGTCTGCCTCTGGGTAGGCAGTACGGTAAATACATGCTAGAACATACACTGAGAGGCTACTTTTAAGATCTGTTACCAGTGATCGAACCCAGAAACAAGAACTAAATATGGTCAAGTCACATTAGTGTGATTCTGCTGAAATGAGGTAAAATGAGTATGTTATGGCTTCTTGCTCTTGAATATTTCTGAATAGGTTTTAATGGGTTTTAATAGAAAATTGCTCTCGGTTACTTTCTTAGTTCAGTATTTCAAGGACTTTTGTTTGTACATGTTCTGGAATTCCTGTGAGAGAGAAATGTCAGACCCTTGAACAGTCTTGTGAGAGCCAGCAACAGAAGTGAACCTCTTCTGCAGCTCTGTTGTCAACCTCAGAGCATCATCCTTTCCTGAAAACACTACTTGCAGGATATTCATGTGCTTGCTCCCAGGCCACAGAAGAACATGAGAACAAATGCAGAGCCAAGTTTCATATAATTTTTTTTTGTGTGTATATATATGTATGCATATATATATTCTCACACAATTTTACATATGTATTTAATTAAAGCAAAATTTAAGTTAATAGCAAGACTATTATGAGCCATACATATAAGAAAAAAAATCCGAGGAATACTCAATTTTAAGATAAAGCTAGTTTTCTGAGTTTGATTTGATAATTTTTTTCTCTCTCAAAATTTATACTAGATTTTTAACCAGATACACAGGACACGAATCTGTTACAAAGATGAATGAATTAACATTGTTGTTGTTGTTTGGATCTCTTTCACCTAGAAATGAGAGGGGGGTATGGACAACTCTCTTCTCACCTCAGCATGTAGTAGTGAGTCACCTAAACTCTGAAAAAGGTGAAACATCCAAATAATGTGACCTACTGTTTTGTTTTCTTTTGTTTTGTTTTTCTAAGCAGCTGACCCAACATCAAATACATGACTCATGGCCCCTCCAGCAAAAAGATCAGGAGCAGTTTCTGAGTCAGTGCAAGAACCCCACAGGACGCAAAAAATATGAAGATGGGAGGAACTTGCCTGGGTCTGACAGCTGTCCAGCACTTGCTGGCTCTGGGACACAGGCACTTTTCAGACGAATGGAGAAACACGGCATTTAAAAAAAGCTATCACTGTTATTCTCTCTCATCTGACATGAACACGTCTGCTGCTTCTCCACTGTCTGGCTTGTGAGGCCCTGGTGGGTCAAAGTCATCCTTTGTAAGATGCTGAAGACGGGGAGGAGGTTTGAAGCTTCAGCCAGAGTGTGCTGGTTTTTTCTGGGATAGTTAATTTTCTTCGTAGTAGTTAGTGTGAGGCTATGTTTTAGAATAATGATAACACACTGATGCTTTAGTTGTTGCCAAGCAATGCTTATATTAAGCCAAGAACTCTTTCAGCTTCTTACACTGCCCCTGCCCTCCCAGCTTCTTCTCTACAAGAAGCTGGGAAGAGACAGAGCCAGGACAGCTGACCTAAACTGGCTGAAGGGATATTCCATACCGTAAAAAGTCATGCTCAGTATATAAGGTAGGGGAGTTGGCCAGGAGGCTGCGATTGATGCTCAGGTCAGGCAGGGTGTCGGTCGGTGGGTGGTGAGCAATTGCACTGTCTGTCACTCCTTTTGTATATTATTATTACTACTATTATTATTATTTCTTCCTTTGTTATCCTATTAAACTGTCTATCTGAGCCATGAATTTTCTCACTTTTGCTCTTCTGATTCTCCTCCACCAGCGGAGGGGTGGGGAGTGAGCAAGTGGCTATGTGGTACTTGCTGCTGGCTGGGGTTAAACCACAACACAGAGTAACCTGGTACTAGTGGACATGCTTGTGTGGATTTTTGAGGATATTCTGGCATGGGGGACAGATTCAAGAAAGCATGAGAGTTAATTTGATTGCCAGCAGAACATCCTGTGGGAATGATACTAAGAAAAATGCGTGTGAGTGAGTCCCCTGAAATAGGTAGCTTTCAATTAGAGATGAGCTGGCTTTAAATCCCTGTGCAGGGAGTTTGTTATACAGCACTGAAAGGAACTATGTATACATATATATATATTAATGTACTGTTCCATCTTATTTCTTTCAGATGAATTGCAGAAACTTCAGACTATTTGTTTGCCTTGTAGGGTTCAGCTGTGCTAGCTTCTGGGTTTTTTACAACTTTTTGCCCAAATTCTGTATATTCTGTGAAAAAGGACAATATTATATGTTCCCCATAGCGACTTTTAGGAAAATTGAAGGAAACTTCTCACAGCTCCCAGATATAGACTGCCATAAGAACCCACCTTTCCTTGTCCTTCTTGTGACATCCTCGTACCACCAGGCTGACGCCAGGATGGCCATCCGGCAAACCTGGGGGAAGGAGAGAACAGTTGCTGGCAAGCGCCTGGTGACATATTTCCTCCTGGGAAGCACTGTGAATCTCAGCCAGCAGGCTGATATTGCTGCTGAAAGCCAAAAATACAAAGACATTATTCAAAAGAATTTTACAGACACGTATTACAATTTGACTTTGAAGACCATGATGGGAATTGAATGGATTCACAGATTTTGTTACCAGTCCAGCTTTGTGATGAAAACGGACACAGATGTGTTTGTCAATGTTTTTTACCTCACTGAGCTGCTTCTAAGGAAAAAGAGGACCACTAGATTCTTCACAGGCTTTTTAAAACTGCGAGAGAACCCTATACGGATAATCGAGAGTAAGTGGTACGTGAGCAGAGAAGAGTATCCGGGAAGCACCTACCCACCATTTTGTTCGGGGACCGGCTATGTTTTATCCACCGATGTTGCTAGTCAGATCTACAATATTTCAGAGAGTGTTTCATTCATTAAACTGGAGGATGTATTCATAGGACTGTGCCTTGGCAAATTAAAAATTCATCCAGAGGAGCTTCATTCAGAGCAGACATTTTTTCCAGAAAGGATTACGTTCTCTCTTTCTCGCTTGAAGAAAATTGTGATGTGCCATGAAGTAGAACCGTCTGAGCAGCTGAGCTATTGGAATCACTTAGTGACAGAAAATTATGGAGGAGTGCTCTAGCACACTCCCTGTTCGAAATAACAAATGGAAATGCTCCTCATTTACAGGGCTGCTCTTGACTCCAGCAAAACTCCCCATTAACTCTAGACTCATCATGTTAAGGACTTTTTAAATGGTGATTTTAATCTGCATTTCTGCCCAAGAACATGCAAACCTCTTTCTTTCCTGCTTGCTCCCATCTCTTTGCATTCCTTCTCTACATGAGTTACAATTTTTTTTTTTTTTCTGAAAGATGCAGGCCTGCAAACCTGCCCTCTCCATGGACCTGCTCCCCAAATCTTGCTGCTACAGGACTGGGAACATTTCTGCAGTGCCAATCTAAAAGTCAAAGTACTTTTGTTCAGCACAGAAAATTTGCAACTTCTTCCTGGTCCCCCTTGATAGATTCCTGCATTTGCACCCATCCGTGCAGGCATTTAAGAAAATGAGTTTGTAGCTCTCAGGATGTTCCCTTCCTGTCACAGGGAACTGCAGCCCTGCCCTTGCAGCCAGCTCAATGTGGGCAGAACTGTGTGCTGGCACAGATCCTTCCTTCAGTCCATGCAATTTTTTCCAGAGATTGAAGAATTTGCCCATGCAGTGCTCTTCGAACAACCTTAGATATTGCAGGGCACCTGATGAATGTGTAAGGCTACTGCATTTGTTCCCATACACGTGCCTCCTTCTGAGAATCATACGTGGTAGAGCTGATCCATGCTCAGTGGAGAATATCCTGGTCTTTCTATTAAAACAGACCCTGGAGGTATCTTTTACATTTGTGTCTCAGTTTGATCTCTTGAAAGGCACTGTTAATGTGTTACCAAGGCTGAACTAGAGTCACTTACAGTGAGCTAAACAGCACATCTGATTTAGACGTTTTTCCTTATGAGGAACTGGGTGTATAAGGCAGAGAAGGCAAGAAGATTTTTCTCTTTTAAACAAGACCTAGTGGGAAAATGTGCCCAAGTGATCATTCAGGCTGGGAGCCTCATTTCTTATTTCACTACCAAGCAAAGACTAATGAAATCACTAGGATGTTTGTAGGTTTCAGAGAGAAGGAATTGAGTCTTTAGAGTAAATGCTGTGGAAAATATATTTGGGCTATGGGGAGGGAGAAAGGAGTTCATAAAATCATGCCTTATGTAATGCTCCTATTTAACTTACTTTCACACAAAGAAAAGGTCAATTTTACCAGCAAAGAAGTATTGAATGCCTATACTATGTGTGAAATGTTTTCTTCAGAGAGCAGTAAAAGTGGGGCTGCTCCATAGGGGAAGATGAGCCAGGAACAAAGGGGATGCAACAGCTGACAGGGCTCAGCCCCACACACCCATATGAGGGAGCAGGACAGACCGGCAGATGGTGGCCAGGTCCAATGAAGAGTCCCCATCACAAGGTAGTAGCGTAGTGATGGTCTGAGGTCAAGCCAGCAATGGCCAGGCCCTAGTGATGACAGGTGGGTGTCAGGATCAGGCCCAGTGAGGGGAACCAGGGCCCAACATTGCCCCTTGATGGCAGGGCAGGGCCTTTGGGATGGGGAAGTATGCTGAATGTGGTTAAAATTATGGAGCAAAGACAGGGAATATTTTATTACTTTGGGGTAATTTATTTTTCTTTTTCTTTTTTTTTTTTTTTTTTTTTTTTAAGTTTGTGAGGACTGTCCAAGTGTCTCTTTTTACTTGCTTGTGTCTGAAGATCAGGATAAATATTTTCA